CCCACGACCCGTTCCCAGAGAGAGACGCGGCCTGGATCCGGGCCTTGTAGTCCCCCGGGTTCAGCCGGTTTAGCTTGGCCCCTCCGTACTTCCTGTACTCCTGTCTGGACACACATTCCCGCTGATCCTGGAGGAAATAAAACATATGTGTCAATTTCCCACAGACACACTGCCTCGCCTCTCGCCTCCCGCCTCCCGCCTCCCGCCTCCCGCCTCCCGCCTGCCGCCTCCCGCCTCCCGCCTCCCTGGCAGCGAAGTGCTGAGTCACGGTGAGGCAGCTGCGCGGCGCCTTCCGAGCCCACCTTCCCGACACCTCCCCAGCCGCACGGGCTGCAGCAGCCGCCCTCACCGGGCGGGACTACAAAGCGCCCACGGGGCCGGGCGGGTGCCGGCTCTCAGTTAGCAGGACCCCACCCTCTCCGGCCCGTCTCAGACTCCCAGGGGAATCTCCTAGGGAGATGGCCAGAGATGCTTAAATAGTCCTGTGCAGTTGGGTGCTAGTGGCAGACAACTTTTCTTTCTGCAGACCACTGCGATCTGGTAAGTACCTCATCAGTGGTTCACGTGCATAGAATTTAATCGTAGGAGTCTGGAAAGACCCAGAAATAGTCCAAATTGAGGGGGCGGGGCGTAAAATATCAATACTTTCAAGATGCTTGTAGGTAGGTGATGACAGTTCTGTATGGCGTGGAGGATTGAGCTCATTTTAGGTGCCCCACAGCCCAGCACCCAGTAAGTATTGATTGATTGCCTGCGTCGGGGAGGGCACATTTAGGGTGAGCCTTGCTTGACTGCCTGGAGGGCTTTGCCCCGCACAGTGCTCTGAGTAGCGGCAGCTCACGTTCTTAGAGGGCTGACTACACTCCTTTGCGGTAGGCAGTCTTATTACTCCTATTTCGCAGGTGGAAAAACTGAGGAACAGAGAGGCTTAGCAGTTGGCCTCAGGTCACGCAGCTGGTACGCTGGTGAACTTGGGATGCAGGCCCAGGCTGTGTGGCTCCAGAGTATGCTTCTCGCCGAAGCATCTCTCTTGGTTTGAGTGGGAATCTTTGAAGGAAAGGATTATTCGCAGTTTGAAGAAGAGCGTTAGGAATTGCGGGTATTGTATGCAGGCATTTGAAGTGGAAAGGGGATTGATTATACCTGTTTTGTGATATGCCTTTGAGTAGGCTTTCGACCCACAAAGAGGAAACACTTTTGGATTGGGTCTGTGGTTGGGTGCCGAAATGTGGATAGCGCTGTCAAGGGTACCTCCTCCATGAGTTTCCTGTGCTCTGCTTCGCATGAAAGCTCCAAGATTTCTTGCTACTTAAGTTGACCCTGAGCTTCAGGGATAGATGGGTCTTTGAATTTGATGACCCTCAAAGATCCCTTTCAATGTCAAGGTCTTTGGCATGTTCAGGTGAGAGTCCCAGACCTCTTGGTTTTTCTCCGTGCTCCCTGTGTCTCCACACAGATCTCTCTCAGCTCAAGGTAGCACCTCCGTCATGGGGCAGCGCGGGGTAGGGGGGAGGTCGAGGGATTTCAATCATGTAAAGCAGATAAAGTGAGCATTAGAGGTCCTTAGTAAATGCCCAACGGAGCTGTTATCACTAACCCTCGTCAAAGGTGGTCGTAGGACTACACCCGCTAAACATTGTAAATCATTAGTAGGGTGCTGGGAACCTAGTTAGTACTCCCACGCGTTCACCATCTTTATGGTTGTTTTAAAGCACCTAGCCCAGGTCTTGCGCAGAGTAAGCAATTTAAAAATTGTAGCTGTTAATACTGGGGGCAGGTATGAATTTCGTATCCTATATTTTATAGTCCTTGGGTGGTCCCTCCTTGATGATTTCTCTGTTTTGTTGTTCCTCCTCTTGCCCTCTGTCGTCTACAGCTCAGCCTCAGAACACTCTCTTTTTAGCCTTGGTTATGGCGTGGTCCAAAAAGGTTACCCTCTCACTGCTCAGCCGCGAGCAGCGGGAAGGGGTTGGAGCACGGGTCCGCAGAAGCGTCGGCAGACCTGAGGTACACTGGCTGGTTGGGTGGCTGTTTCCTGCTTTTTTGCAGAAAGGACTGGTGGGACCCTGAGGATAAACTTGGGAAGAGAGGGCATGAGACCATCACGAGCTGCCCTGTTGGGTGCCTTAGGAACCAACTCTAAACTTAGCAATTGGGGTCCTCCCCGGAGCAGCTCCAGTCCCAAGGGGGTTTCTGTAATATGGATCCAGTGGTCCTGAGCTGAAACATCTGTGCCCCTCTCTGCACACCCATGTCCCATCCTGGGTTTATCTGTCAGCCTCTGTGTGCACATCACCAGACACACCCACCTGATACCCCCGGGCTTATATGCCCACAGGTCAAAGCACCAAGGAGAGACACTGGGGCCCCATCCCAAATTCCCAGGAGGGAGAATCCGACCGGCTCGGCTTGGGTCAGGTCTCTACCCTGCGCCAGTCAGCCATTGTCAGGGATCTGAATTCTTAGAGACACCCCTGAGACCCAACTTTGTGGACCTCTTGGTGGGAGGTAAGTGGGGGCTTCCCTCAGAGAAGGTGATTGTAGGTGAGGCAGATATCTTTCCACATTAGAGAGCAGTTTTATTTGAAAATTATGGGAGACATGGGACTTGGCGGAAAAGAAAATCTTATACACATAGAAAGGTCATCAAATGGTGGTTACTGCCCAAGGAATACAGTGCCCAGCCCCAGATTCCAAAAACAGATTTCTTTTTATTGAGGTATAATCGACATATAACATTACTTTCAGGTGTACAACACAGTGATTCAGTATTTGTATATATTGCAAAATGATCACAAGTCTAGTTAACTTCTGTCGTCATACATAATTATTTTTCTTGTGATGAGAACTTTTAAGATCTGCTCTCTTAGCAACTTTCAAATATGCAGTACAGTGTTAACTATAGTCACTATGTTGTACATTCCATCCTCATGACTCATTTATGTTTGTACCTTTTGACCCCCTTCATCCATTTTGCTCACCCCACCCCCACATCTGGCAACCACCAGTCTGTTCTTTGTATCTATGAGCTTGTTTGTTTTTAGTTTCCACATATAAGTGAGATCATACAGTATTTGTGTTTCCCTCTCTGACTTATTTCACTCAGCAGAATGCCCTCAAGGTCCATCCATGTTGTTGCAAACAGCAAGATTTCATTCTTTTTTGTAGTTGAATAATATTCCGTTGTATATTTACACCACATTTTCTTTATCCGTTCATCTGTCGGTGGACACCTAGGTTGTTTCTATGTTTTGATTATTGTAAATGATGCTGCAATGAACATGGGGGTGCATACAGCTTTTCAAGTTAGTGTTTTTGTTTTCTTTGGATAAATACCCAGAAGTGGAATTGCTGGATCGTATGGTAGTTATACTTTTAATTTTGGGGGGAACTTCCATACTGTTTTCTATAGTGGCTGCACTAATTTACATTCCCACCAACAGTGCACGAGGGTTCCCTTTTCTCCACACACTCACCAACACTGTCATTTCTTGTCTTTTTGATAATAGCCTTCCTGATACATGTGAGGTGATATCTCAGTGTAGTTTTGATTTGCATTTCCCTAATTAGTGATGCTGAACTCATCTTCCAAAAAATATTTTTGAATAAAGGAAGAAGTATATTAGGGAAATGGATTCTTTTTGAAAAGTGAGGCTGGTTTGTTCCTCTTCTTAAATTCTGCTCTGATATTCTCATATTCTTCCCACCGTTAGGTTCCTGTTCATCTGAGAATGTCTCTTGAGGTCTGTCAAACATTGTGGCCGTGGTGTCATCTTATACTAGGCCACATCGCCAACAGGGGAATTCGAATACCCGTCAGCAAACCCATTATTGTATGTTGAGGGTAGCTAATACTTTAATTACTCCATCTGTCAGAAACACATCTGAGGAGTTCTCAATTTTTCTGGTCTTGTGAACCCCTTTGGAGGTCTGCTGAAAACCATCAGTTCATTCTCAGAATAATGTTTTATCCATTCCTTCTCAGCAAAATGTTTTTTACTTCTATTTATTTTTTAATACATCTTTATTGGAATATAATTGCTTCACAACACTGTGTTAGTTTCTGTTGCACAACAAAGCGAATCAGCCATATGCATATACATATCCCCTCCCTCTTGGGCCTGCCTCCCACCCTCCCTATCCCACCCCTCTAGGTCATCTCAAAGCACCGAGCTGATCTCCCTGTGCTATGCTGCTGCTTCCCGCCAGCCACCTATTTTATGTTCGGTAGTGTATATACGTCGATGTTACTCTCACTTCACCCCAGCTTCGCCTTCCCACCCCATGTCATCAAGTCCATTCTCTATGTCTACCTCTTTATTCCTGCCCTGCGAGTAGGTTCATCAGTACCATTTTTTTTTTTTTTTTTTTTTAGATTCCATATATATGTGTTAGCATACAGTATTTGTTTTTCTCATTTACTTCACTCTGTATGACAGACTCTAGGTCCATCCACCTCACTACAAATAACTCAGTTGCATTTCTTTTTATGGTTGAGTAATATTCCACTGTATATGTGTGCCACATCTTCTTTATCCATTCATCTGTCGATGCACATTTAGGTTGCTTCCATGTCCTGGCTATTGTAAATAGAGCTGCAATGAACATTGTGGTACATGACTCTTTTTGAATTAATGGTTTTCTCAGGGTATATGCCCAGTAGTGGGATTGCTGGGTCGTTTGGTAGTTCTATTTTTAGTTTTCTAAGGAACCTCCATACTGTTTTCCATAGTGGTTGTATCAATTTACATTCCCACCGACAGTGTAAGAGGGTTCCCTTTTCTCCACAGACTTTCCAGCATTTATTGTTTCTAGCTTTTTTGATAATGGCCATTCTGACCTTCATGAGGTGATACCCCATTGTAGTTTTGATTTGAATTTCTCTAATAATTAGTGATGATGAGCATCTTTTCATGTGCCTCTTGGCCATCTCTAAGTCTTCCTTGGTGAAATATCTATGTAGGTCTTCTGCCCATTTTTTAACTGGATTGTTTGTATTTTTGATATTGAGCTCCATGAGCTCTTTGTGTATTTTGGAGATTAATCCTTTGTTGTGTCATTTGCAAATATTTTCTCCCATTTTGAGGGTTGTCTTTTTGTCTTGTTCATGTTTTCCTTTGATGTGCAGAAGCTTTTAAGTTTAATTACGTCCCATTTATTTGTTTTTATTTCTGTTACTCTAGGAGGTGGATCAAAAAGGATCTTGCTGTGATTTATGTGAAAGAGTGCTTGTCCTATGTTTTCCTCTAAGAGTTTGATGGTTTCTGGCCTTATATTTAGGTCTTTAATCCATATTGAGCTTATTTTTGTGTATGGTGTTAGGGAGTGTCCTAATTTCATATTCTTTTACGTAGCTGTCCAGTTTTCCCAGCACCACTTATTGAAGACACTGTCTTCTCTCCATTGTATATCCTTGCCTCATTTGTCTTAGATTAGTTGACCATAGGTGCGTGGGTTTATCTCTGGGCTTTCTATCCTGTTCCATTGATCTATATTTCTGTTGTGCCAGTACCATATTGTCTGGATTACTGTAGCTTTGTAGTATAGTCTGAAGTCAGAGAGTCAGATTCCTCCAGCTCTGTTTTTTTCCCTCAAGACTGCTTTGGCTATTCGGGGTCTTTTGTGTCTCCGTACAAATTTTAAGATTTTTTTTGTTCTACTTCTGTAAAAAATGCCATTGGTAATTTGATAGGGATTGCATTGAATCTGTAGATTGCTTTGGGTAGTATAGTCATTTTACTGTAGTCAACATACAATATTGATTCTTCCAATCTAGGAACATGGTCTATCTCTCCATCTGTTTATATCATGTTTAATTTCATTCATCAGTGTCTTACAGTTTTCTGCATACAGGTCTTTTGTCTCCCTAGGGAGATATATTCCTAGGTATTTTATTCTTTTTATTGCAGTGGTAAATGGGAGTGTTTCCTTAATTTCTCTTTCAGGTTTTTCATCATTAGTGTATAGGAATGCAAGAGATTTCTGTGCATTAATTTTGTATCCTGCAACTTTACCAAATTCACTGATTAGCTCTAGTAGTTTTCTGGTGGCATCTTTAGGATTCTCTATGTATAGTATCATGTCATCTGCAGACAGTGACAGTTTTACTTCTTCTTTTCCAAATTATATCCCTTTTATTTATTTTTCTTCTCTGATTGCTGTGGCTAGGACTTCCAAAATTGTGTTGAATAATAATAGTGGCAAGATTGGGCATCCTTGTCTTGTTCCTGATCCTAGGGGAAATGTTTTCAGTTTTTCACCATTGAGAATGATGTTTACTGTGGATTTGTTGTATATGGCCTTTATTATGTTGAGGTAGGTTCCCTCTATGCCCATTTTCTGGAGAGTTTTTTTTATCATAAATGGGTGTTGAATTTTGTCAAAAGCTTTTTCTGCATCTCTTGAGATGATATGGTTTTTATTCTTCAATTTGTTAATATGGTGTATCACATTGATTGATTTGCGTACATTGAAGAATCCTTGCATCCCTGGGGTAAATCCCACTTGATCATGGTGTATGATCCTTTTATTGTGTTTTGGGATTCTATTTGTTAGTATTTTGTTGAGGATTTTTGCATCTATATTCATGAGTGATATTGGTCTGTAATTTTCTTTTTTTGTAGTATCTTTGTCTGGTTTTGGTATCAGGGTGATGGTGGCCTCATAGTTTGGGAGTGTTACTTCCTCTGCAGTTTTTGGGAAGAGTTTGAGAAGGATGGGTGTTAGCTTTTCTCTAAATGTTTGAAAGGATTCACCTGTGAAGCCATGTGCTCCGGGACTTTTGTTTGTTGGAAGATTTTTAATTTCTTTCTTGTGATTGGTCTGTTCCTATTTTCTATTTCTTCCTGGTTCAGTCTTGGAAGGTTATACCTTTCTAAGTATTTGTCCATTTCTTCCAGATTGTCCATTTTATTGGCATAGAGTTGCTTGTAGTAGTCTCATAGGATGCTCTGTATTTCTGCCATGTCTGTTGTAACTTGTTTTTAATTTCTAATTTTATTCATTTG